AAATAATATATACTTGTCTTATTTCTGTTATGTTTTGGATGAGGGAGCGTATATCTAGAGCATGGTTGTAGAAAGTAATATAACCTACTTAAAATCTAATTGTTTTCAAACTTAAGAATCGATGGGGGAAAAATCCATAAAAGTTTGAGGTCTTCACTGATTATAGAGGGCAGCTATCATCTCCTTCAATAAACATATTTTACTCTCGCTCGACTACGCAGGTCACTCAATAGACGCCAGCTTATTGGTAAAATATGCACACTTCATAAGACTTGAAATATAAGTCAAATTCTATATATTACGTAATATCTAATTATAATTAAAAATAACTGTAATGTAATGTAACTATAAATAAGTTTTACCTTATCAAATATTCAAAAATTACTAAATTTTAATTCGCATATTGGCCATTTTTCCAAAGCCTTTTCTATTTCTTTTATTTTTTCCTCAGTATTTATAACTACTTACCGTATGATGATAATTTTTATAGTCGAAATTATTTAAAATTATGCTTGCCGCTCTTTTTTTTGAAGTTTTGATATATTTTTATTTTTATTTAACGTATTTCCCCAAACTGAGATCGAGTAATCAATACATGGTTGAATTGTATTTGTATATAGTTTTACCAATAGAGATTTACTGGGGGTTTTGCCAATTTATACCTAACATATGGATTTTATAACTAACAGATTTGTATACATTTTGAATGTGATAATCCCATTTTAAGTGTTCATAAAATTTCAATGCCTAGATATTTTATATTTTATATGTTTAGATATTTTATATGTTTGTTTTTATTTGTTCAATTTCTGTTTGATCGACTTGGATAGGGCCTACTTAAACTGTCATGCTCTATTGTACTTGTTGCTGTTTAACGTAAAGTTTAGTTTTATCAGCATTAATTTTTAGCTTATTTCCTATGTACCATTTTGGAAAAAGAAAATAGACCATAGTTGAATATTATAAAGCATATTTTGAGTTGGCTTCAGTATTTGTCTTTTTAGAGACATATAAAATAATATCATCAGCAAAAATACTGATGTTACCATGGAATATTTATTGAGATATATAGTAAATAAAAATGAGAAACAATGTGGAGTCGAGAGAGCATGCCGCTCTCACTTCATTGTTATTCATAGATTCGAGCCAGTCATCGATAACATTATGTAGGCATGTAACTGTGAAGTGGTGTTTGCTAAAGGTATGTTGATCGATATTTATCAACTCAGCTTCGTTTAAGTAATTACAATTTGGGTTTTAACATATTTTCCACAATTTTTGTGCAATAATTATTTACATTTTGTGTTTCACCTTTACCTTTGAATACAGGACTAGTCCGTGTTAGTTTCCAGTCTAGAGGGATTATTTAATTTTCTAATGATTCGTTTATAATATCACATAATGATTTAGTAATAATAGATGAGGTGAGTTAAAGTGATGAGTGATGAGCTTCTGTCGTGAATTGGTGCATATCTTTCAGATCGAACTCAGTGTGTCTCTGTTAATGGTCATCTCTCTTTTCAATCTAACGTGATCTTAAGACCCATCCTTTTCAATTTGTTATCAATGATCAATGAAAATGTTTCTGATAAGCTCTTTGCGGATGACACCAAACTTTATAGGGTTGTTGATTCAATTGGCGATTCTCACTTATTGTAGGCATATTCGTGCTTTGTTTGATTGGTCATGTAAGTGGCAGTGACACTTTAATGAGGGAAATATAAAGGAATTCATTTCAGAACAAATGAAATTAATTTTTCATACTTTATTAATGGTGCGGAACTTGAAGTTGTTGAATCGGAGAAGGACTTCGGAGACGGTGACGTTCGATTCAAGTTTTGTTAACCATTATGAAATTAGGCATGATCAACCGGTCCAATTTTTGAAGCCAGGATTAATGAAATTATACAAAGTTATCGGTCTATCTAATTTTTGAAGACTAGGAATTAATGAAATTATACAAAGCTATCGTTAGACCCACCTTAGAATAATGCAATACCGTTTACCAACCCAAATTTTAAAAAAAGATCTCGAAAAGGATTTATCACCTTAAGTTATCGCAGGCGGAAGAGTCGATATTCTTCATTTTTCGGATTGTACGAGGCTTTGATAACATTCCAATGAATTTATACTGTACTTTTATTCTAATATCAAATAGGAGCACACTCGAGGTCATTCGCAAAAATTAGCACATTACTATTGTAGTTAAGAGCTTTTTTTAGACGGTATGTTAAGTCGGCGTTCGCAGAAGCGTTCTGACCACCTGCTTAAATTTGCGCCGTACATCAAAGTTGAAGTTTTCAGCGAGAGGCCAAGCAATGTCTTGGCCTCTGTTCCCGGTAGCTCCTGGAACACAAGTCAAGTAAGTAAATATAAATCTATGTTGCTTCTTTTTTAATTAACAATATGAATTACTACTATTATTTATATTATCATCATTTTCTTCACAATTAGGTGATTATGCATTGTTGCATTGATTGTTTTATGGAAGGTCTGGATTAATTAAATTATCGTATTATTGTATAATGTATATGTAAATATAATTTATTTAATAATTGTTTAAGAAAAGGAAATGCCACTTGTAAAACCAAAAATGAATAGCTTGGCAGTTGAGGGCTAGTTCTGGGGTTCTGGTTACAGGAAGATGTGTTCTAAAATCTTGGTTTATAAAGGATTGTTTAATCCTGCAGGTGGCAGACGTGAGAGAAACGTAATAATAATAATAATAATAATAATAATAATAATAATAATAATAATAATAATAATAATAATAATAATAATAGTACTAATTCAGAATAAGTGATAAATATGTCAATAGTAATAAAACAGTATTTATGTTCAAAGAAATGAAGGAACAAATAAAAGTGGGACGCCTCCACAAAAGAGAGAAAAAAAAACAACAATATGAGTTACTTCTTATCGTAAAATAAATTGATTAGCTGCTGAAAGTATTTTGATTAATTTGTTTATATTCAGTATATTGTTAAAGTATAATTTACTTTGGCTTAACGAACGAAGGGTCTATATAAAAAAGTGGCATTGTTTCTCAGTCTTCTAAAATTCCATGGGAGATTGTTTGTCCGAGGATAGAGATATTATAGTTTACTATAATACCTTCATGGTCCGAGATCGAGACAACAATAAACTGTTTAGAATTTCCATAACAGACAACAACGCAAGATTCATTCATGTATTTGTCTTCTATAGTGATGGGGATCTTAATTCTATTCTTGTTGGTAATACATTTGTATACAATTGAGAGGGCTTTTTTATGTAAAAAATACATCGCTAAATAATTACAATATAAGCTAGGCTTACCTTAATACCATTAATAATCAGATGCATCATGCTAGACTGATCTAATTTGTTCTCAGAATTTAATATATCGGTGAACTATTTTGATATCAAAATTTACCTAAAGTTGTTTTGATCATGCGTGGAGAAATCTTCGCTGTACCGTCGACATGTTGTCAATAATTTCTTAATATAGGTTTTACCTTTTAATAATGGTTTGAAATTGTGATTTATGGCATACTCTGAATGGATTTATGTTTTTATATTTGTTTGCTTCGTATTTTGACAATATGTACACATTTTGTTGTGGTTGTTGTTATTTTTATTTATTTATTTATTTTTCGGAAAGCTGTAACTCATTATATAAAAGTCTAAATTGTATTGACGAACATAAATATTTTTACATGATTCCCTGATAACATTCTGTCGCCCTATTATTACATTAACGTAGAACCTCAAAAAGAAGCCCAGTGGGCGGGCGGGAGGAAGGCTTAGTATTATTAAACATCAAGTATCTGGTAAGCCGTTATAAGTCCATAAACATTTTAGAAAATGAACTTTGTCAAGTAAAAGATGCTTCAAAGTAGATTTTTTTTGTTTTAATTATGCAAAATTTTATCACCATTTAATTACTAGTGATATAAATTGTTAATGATGTTTTCACTTCTTGTTCCAATAAGAATAAGAATTTTGTGACTAGGATCATAGAGGTTAAGGATGATGATGTTCAGAATTACTTGTGTGTCGCCCTCTCTCCCCTCTCCCCAGGAAGTTCACACTATTAAATTTTGGTTCACACCTAGATCTTTGGTTAACAACACAAGAACTTTTACAAATACAGAAAATATTTGGTTTACACCCACAGACTGTGTATTACTCGGTGTGTGTAGCTGATTTCAAAAAAATAGATCAAAGGTCCTATTTTTATCACGTAACTGCAGCATAATAGTATAGACGCATTATTCTTCTAGTAAGTACGCAATTGTTTTTGTTATATTATGGTCCATCTTAGGCTAGGCTAGGGCACAGGCTAGGCAGTTTACTTTTTGAAAGTGGTTATTCGCACGGTATACCGTGCGAATAAGCTCTTATGAGTCTTATTCGCACGGTAGACCTAGCCAATCAGCATTTGACGTTTCATGACGTCTAATCTAACCCTGCCAATAAGTTCTTATTCCCAATTAGCACGGTACATCGTAAATTAACAATATTTAACACGGTATCGTCTCAAAAGACCTAAATATTTTAAAGCCCCATTCCCGGCAAAATTTCAGTTTTTAAGAAAAATCTAATTTTTGTATAATGTTATAAAGATTTATAAATATAATACGGAATTGCTAGTTTAAATGAATTTAGACATTCCTAAGAATG